ATGACTCAGCATCTTTCTACTAGGATCACACTATGCTTTTCTGCCCTCTCCTCAAATGCAAAGCTCACACCGGTACTGATACAGGGCTGTCTTCATTTCCTTCCTACCGACCGACTGGCCCAGTGACCATCCCTGCCTCCAAGTTGGCTAGGCTCCCTGAGCAGGCGGGGCTGAGCCTGGTTCTGCTGAGCATGTCGGCGGGGGCTGGCAGGGGTAGGCCTTTGTTGTCCCTGTGGGTTGCAACCCCCCTCATCTCATCGCGGCCACTTCCACTCATTTCTCCTGGGAGCTGCCTCGCTGCAGAGAAAAGCCTTTGGAGCCCCTCTCTTTTCAGCCGGTCTTTATTGAATTCCACCTCCATGTTTTCTTCCCCTCAAATAGGAGCATCATTTATCTTGGACTTTAAGTTGCAGAGGTCTTTAGAAGCTTTCTTTTCTTCCCAGCTGCATTTGTTGACACACAGTCAATCTGCTTCTTTCCTCCGCTCCCCTTTCCTCCCATGAAGCCCCCCAAGCAGCCATAAAGTGTCTACAGCTGTGCCTTTATTACCCTTCCCTTTCTATGGCCGCAAGGGGGACGGGCTGAAATATAGCACAGCCATTACCGTTGACAAAAAGGGACAATTTTAAAACATTTTTGCTTTTCATCAGGAAAGCTGATGGCACAAAAGAAAGTGCATCATTTTATTGTAAATGCTTTTTAAATATGGGTCACTTGGCTATCATCAGCCCCAAAGGACAGAAAAGTTCAAAGCCCCAAAGCAGCCCCAAAGATATGGAGAGCCCCCTCCCTCGGCCTTTGCCTTTTAAATTATGCTAATTGACAGCAAGGAAAAAAGGGTGGGGGTGGTAATCTCCAACCAACCCACACACTCTGCCTGCAACTCCCTTCTTACAGAGAAAAGCATACAGAACGCATCAGCCAGGCCAAGAATGGTGCTCGCAAACTATTAGGGCCATTTTTCTTTTTATTTCATTCCAGGAAGTATTAAGAGTAGGGGGCTAGTGGTCTGTTCTTTCAGGATGGGGTGACTTTCCCAGCCCTAGTGGGGAGGCAACTCTGGTTATTTTCCTTACAGACTACCAAGAAGAATCTGCTAAGGGCTCCTAGGTGTGTGCTTATGGGTTGTTTCCAGGGGTACACAGAGGTGTAAGGGTAGGAGGCGCAGGCCAGGGGATGGAGGGGTGGCAGGTCCTCCTGTTGAGGTTAGTGTATGTATAGAGTGGGTCTCAGGGGTAGGGTAAGAGAGTGGAGGCGGCAGGATGAGAGAGGAACCCAGGACTGAAAAGCTGCCCTCAGTGCCCCCCCCTTGCAGTCCAGACCCCCATACTGAAGTCTGAATCTTCCTGCCTGAGGCTGTCTCCAGAGAAGGGACACAAACGTGAAGACTGGGCCCATAAGAGTCTGCTAGTAGCTGGAGCGAGGCCAGGATTACCAACCAGTTCCTGTGGACCAGTTGCCTAAGTGACACACAGACCTTTGACTGCACAGACCAAAGAGCTGGACTTGTCCTGGTCAGCGATGCTCACCCACGTCCAGTCTCCTGCAGCAGCTTATGTGCTTATTTTATGAACTAGTGGCTGCATGAGTGACAGTACCAAGAACCACCCTCCCACTCCAAGGAAGGGTTCCTGCATTCAGTCTCTTCAGGTCCCTTAGGGCCAGTTCTTCCAGAAGAAAAACCTGCTGGCTGCCAGGGTTCTCAGAGTTGACTGGAGAGGCATCTAACTCTTTTTTTTTTTTTTTTTTATTTATTTCCTCTTTTCTCAGCAGGAACTATTCCCTGACTTCTCTGCTATCATAAGGTCTGGAACCCTTTGAACCAACCCTTCCTTAGGGGCGCTCTTGGATTACAGGGTCTGGGGTCACATAGAACAGGGGCCGCATGGTTTCACATATGCACATGTTGGGGGCTGGTGGGAGGGGGATTTGCCAACCCTCACCACGGAGCCCTTCTCAGACCTACCTCGGATCCTCAAGCCATTGTAGGCCCTGCAGGGTCTATCAGTGACTCCTGCAGATGTAGGGCAAGGGCCTGGTGTGCAATGTCTGCCAATTCCCACAGTGTAAACTCTCCTGCCATAGCCAACATCACAGGGTTTTTTTATAAATCCCCTTATAACCTCCCCTCCCATTACAGAACCAAGACCCATTACATCTGCATCCCCTCCTCAGTGTGGCTCATCTGTTCCCCCTGAATGCCTCCAGGCTCTTCGAATAAGCAAAATTTTGGTTTTCTTTTGATACTGGATCCCACCAGTTTTAACTCTTTAATTTTAAGACTTTTTTTTAAAGCTTGAATTTTCCAGCATCTCCTTCCCATACAATTGCTACGAAATGTATATTTTGACAGGAAATACAAACAGGAAGGGAACCATGAATACAGTAAAGCTTAGAAATAAACCTCCTCTGTGTCTCTTATGTTGTATGTATATACTCAGTGCTGTCTTTTCTGCAGGGTCCCCTAAAGGACCACTGTTAAAGACTTATTCCTGTACGTGTTAAGTTTATGCTGAAGTTGGAATGCCAATTACAAACCTGTCTGTTCAGGTCGTTGTGGAAATGGCACCAGGCTCAGCAATCCAGGGCCAGCGCATCCCCTAGTCCTTCAAGGAGCTCCTCCTCTGCTCGTGACATCTCAGCTGTTACCGGTTTCACCTTCACGACTTCTTTCTAGAACATGAGTCCTTTCTTCCTATTCCATATTGTGCCCATCACAGTCCAAGAGGTGTCACTTTGGTTTTCCTGAAGAGCAAGTCAGTCTCCATCCCTGAGGGTCCCCCCCTCCCCCCAGCCACAATGGATACCAAGGAAGCTGGCACCAAGCTCCCCACCAACCATGGCTAGCGCCTCTTGATTTCCAAGTCCTCGGGCACCCTTGCTACTCACTTTGCAAGACTTTCTGGGCACTTCATTTTGCTGCCATGACATGCCTCCATGGCTTCTGGCCAGCGCTACACAGCTGGGTGACACTGCAACTCCCAGCTAGCCCAGTTGCTGTGGCTTTACTGTGTACAGCCCCAGGCCACCTTCCAGAAAGACAAAAGGCAACAGCTTTTTATTGGGTAGGACCTAAAGGTCATAATATTTGCTGTGGTGATCAGCAGTGTTTGCCACACTTCATGTAATGGAATGTCATAGCCATTAACACTTGAAGAATATTTATTGGTGTGGGAAAATGCTCACAATGCGTTAAAGAAAGCAGGGTACAAATCTGTAAACACAGCATGATCCCAATCTTGTAGTAAAATAAATTATATATGCATAGAAAAACCGCAGGGAGGGGAGACTCGAAACATCCAGATGGAAAGTCGGGGAGGGAGGACTCTGGGTCCATTAGTCGTATTGTTTGCTGCACTCTATATGGAGCACTCTATATGGAGCACGTGTGTCTTTGATAGGCAATGGGGAATGCAGGTTGACACCTACTCCTGGGAGGCAGCAAGACTTGCTTGCTGAGGTACCGTTTAGTCACTTGCGAAGCTTCAGCTTGTCATATATGAAGGAAGGGTGGCATCTGCCCTGTGTGCCCCTGGGGGCCACTGGGCACGGCACCTGGAAGGGTCACAGCCATCTGGGAACTGTCCCTTCAAGCAGCTCGAATGCCTTGCTTTAGGACATACTTCCCCAAAGTCCAGTGTAGACAGAGGGCTGCAGACTGTAGTGGTCCCTGTCACAACATTCTCCCTGGTGAGGGGGTGGCCCACACCACTGACTGACCTAAGGGTGCTCAGGTCCTTGTCTGAACTCTGCTGACCACACTTCTCACTCCCATGCTGGCACCTCCCTGATGGGAAAGTCCAAGCCCTCGTCTGCTAAAGGTTATTGCTTAAAATGGCCTGAGAACCACCACCTTGGGCAGCCCGGGCTGCTTCCATCCCAAAGCCTCCAGCTGTGCGGTCAGGCAGTGGATTCTGGCTGGCTGCTGGGCTGGGGAACTAAGTTCTCTGGAGAGGTGTTGCCTTGAATGGGGTGAAGCTCCAGAGAAGACACGGAACTCGATGCTCAGGGCTCTTTCTGTGTATAAGGTGAAATTACTCCATCTTCTTTCTAAGAATGAATCCTTAAGAAAAAGAAGTGCCCAGTAGAGAGAGATGCAGAGCGAAAGAAGCCACTGGGAGCACTGTGCAGCACTGGGCAGAGCCAGCGAAGGGCATCTCAGCAGGCATCGCCTGACTTAGGCTGATACTCATGGAAAAGCTATCTGACCAGAGGTTATAAAAATACTTCCAAAATGCATTTGCAGAATGAAATAACAAAATAGTTAATTAAATTCTCTTTCTTTGGATTTTTCCACTTAAGCTAAAATTGCCAAATAAAATGAAAATGTTATATGCCGTTGGCTAAAACATGGGCCACGAGCTCTTCCCAACAATGTGGATAAAAATCCTAAAACGCATGTACTCTTCCTAGTCACTTAGAAAGCACTGTGAATTTGATCTATTCTTTTACAGCAGCTCAGGGCCACCATTAGGAAACTATGTGCATGGCCACAGCGTCACACACTGTTTTCCCGGTTAGGTAAGCAGAGCCCAGGTCTGCTCTCTCCCATCTGCACCCTGACCCCATCTGAACTGGGATGAATGGGTGCTGCAGGCCTTCTGGCCCCGGCTGGCTTCTTTCACTTTCCCACTTTAACTCCAGTAAACTCCTTCTCTGCTTTTGTGTGCAGGGTGGGGCCCGGGTCCAAGCAATCCCACGTTAGAAATGAACATAAATCTTAGTGATGCGATTGTTCTTTAAAGGTTCTCCTCTGAGTAAATTTTAAGAAACTACTGACATCTCTCTGGCAGCTCAAAGGCCTTTTATGACTCAATTCTTGGTGTGCGGTCTGTCAGGACTAGTTTAGGGTAAATGTCACTCTCACTAGAGTACGCACACTGTCGTTTAAAGAAGTCACATGATGACAAGTGGGCAAACAGATGGAAAACACTCTAAAACATGCACTGTGCAATGGTATTGTTAGCCCATGTATCCATAAAGAAACACACACAGATGGCTAAATTGAATCATCCCCAATGTTTTATTTAAAGTTTTAAAAGGCAGTGGTTAAGCACATAATCTATGTGTGTGCATATATGTGTGTATGTGTGTCTACACATACACACATATATGAAAGGAAACCAACCCCTTTTCAACTTTAGCCACTGATCAACTTGGCCTGCTGTCTACATGATTGCACGTCTACTTCATATGACCATTCTAAGAGTAAAAATAAACAACCTTAATCAGTTTAATAGTAACTATTTGTGTTTCTTTTTTTTAATAAATAAAGTTACCATTAAACTGATCACATATGGTAGAAAGAACACACACACAAATACACACAGAGACCCTTGTTTAAAACATGTGACATACGAATGACCTTTATGTACAAATGGGTGCTGTTGGCTCTCTACCCCCAGCACAGGCCACAAAAGAACTCCCACTACTCGGGGAGCCCCATCCTCTCTGTTGCTTGGAGGATGAGTATGTTCTTGGCACCCTGAGTGAGACCTCAGAATGCACTGGATGCAGTGGTACAGATGGTGGTCCAGCCCTACGGTACATGTAGTGTTCAGGAACATGAGGAATAAATAGGCACATGTAGCTGCCTGGAACAAAACCATCATTTCTAACTCCTCATAGGAGAGATGTATTCTGAAGTTTTAGCTTAAGTGACATACAAACAGGTTTGTAAGTCTGGGGCTCTGTGTGTGTGTTTCCACGTTCATATAAAACTGAAATGATGTGTGGGGCTGGGTTTCCAGAGCGGCTGCCTGGCTTCCAATTAGTCAGCACTGATCTAAGAAGTCACCTGCCTCAGCCCTTGTTTGCCAGCTCCTCGGGCTCTCATGTGCCTTGGGGTTGCTGGAGAGACTTAGAAGGGGTGGTTTACACAACTGGGTGGATATGGCTGAATCTTCGGCTAGGAATCCTGGCAACAAGACTACCAGACTGGACCAGGCTGCTTCCAAGTGAAGCCCGGCACTGCATCCTGATGAAATGGAATGACTATTTCTGCTCCTAGCCTGCAACTCTGCCTAACTCCAGCTCTGTGTAGAGGTCTGAATGTTGCAGAGAACACCGGACCACCTCTTAGATACGCTGGGTTCTCAATGAGTAAACCAGCTAATGTGTTTCTAGCCAAAGCAAGGGCATAAATGTTTTAGAGAAAGAGATTCCCCTGGAGCTACAGAGAAAAGATGCTGATAATAGCCGTATTGAGAGTGGAGCAGGTGATGAAGCTTTTCAGTCTGTGTCGGAGCTGGTCTCTTCGATGACAGAATACTGGCTGAGTGCTTCCTCCAAAGGCGTTATTGTCCCATCAGGTTTTAGTCCCATTGGTTTAAGCAACTCCTCTCTGGAAAAAGAGATAAAAGAAAGAAAAAAAAAAAGTATTCACCAGCATCACACACACGCCCCTCCTCCACCCAGATCCACATCCTTTTAAAAGAGAAGTCTTTAAAAACCAAAGTATCCTCTCTCTCTCTCTCTCTCTCTCTCTCTCTCTCTCTCTCTCTCTCTCTCTCTGTGTGTGTGTGTGTGTGTGTGTGTAACAGAAAGATGAAAGGGGCATGGGAAGAAAAAGAGGGAGATGAAAGACTTCATTCACACAAGCCAAACCCACTAAGCCAATTAAAGTATGAAAAGTCAAGGTCCAAATGGGCTCAGGACATGGAGCAGGTCTCTTCTGTTTTGAATAATTAACTTTTTTCCCCTCTTGTGGATTCATTTGTTTTGGAGAAGTTGAAGCTGTAGAGTTTCACCTGCCCGACTTACAATTAAACACATGTTTCATTCAATGGAGTCAGTATGTCAAATGTGGTTTTGTTCCCATGGTCTCTGACTCAAGAGTACTCGCTGGTTCATTTCAAATCAGCTGGATTTCCCCAGGTTCTCTTCCTTTTCTCTCTCTTTCCTTCTTTTTGTTTAGAACGCCACAGCTTTTGCTTGTGGCAGTTTAATTACGGGATTGACAGCCATTTTTAATCTCTTCAAAGCTCCCCAACTGTCTTTACCTAATCCAATTGTATCCACTCCACAAGTTACAGCCTCATCTAAGATGGTTAATTATTGATTAAGCCAATCAAAAAGCACCAGGAAGATTTATTTAATCTTTTCATAGGCCTTATTTATTATTACACGGAGATTTGACGAATGCACCTATTGAGGTGGTAACTCCGATCCTTCCACTCCAAACAGGCTAGTGCACTTAAGAGGGCGGGCGTCAAAGGCCCAGGAGCCGCTTCTATTTCTCATGGAAATGGGCACTGCTGCTGCCTGAGAACATGGCGAAGCAGCTGTGGTGTTGGTGGGCTGTGGTGTGAGGGAAACAATAACACTTGTTGGCCTTTCTCCTTGTTACTGTCCCCCCTTCAGGCAACACAAAGAAGAGTTCTCTCCCGGGGAGGGCAGTTATACAGCTGTGACAGCACAGTGGGTTAAATTAACAGGAGCCTCAGCAAGTGCATGGCTGACTGCTGGCTAGACCGAGGAAAAAGGATAAAAATGATGAAGCTTAACGTTGGAAGGGGCCTCACAGGTCACTTAGTCCGGCCCCCTTTAAAAGGAGGCCAGAGTGGCAGAGCTGGGCATGGGACAGGTCTCCTGAGCCCTACCCAGTGCTCTCTGCAGTGAGTCCCTCTCAGCTGGCTGCCCTAACTGCATGGAAAAGCAGTTGAGTTCACTATTCAACAACCATGTGACAGGAACTGTCACTTGAGCGGCAGATGAGGAAGACAAAACAAACAGACCCAAGATGACGTGGGGCAGACATGGGGAAAATGTCCTGAGAGAAGTGAGAACCACAGCCACACCACCTGGGGTGGGGCGGGGCGGGGCGGGGCCGGGCAGAGGAGGCACCACAGACAAGACAGGATGCCCCATGCTGGGCAAAGGAGGCCGTGGAGGGCCCAGTTGTCTTGTGTGACTGTGTTAATTCACTTTTGCTGCTTTGTGCTCTTGTAAGGAAGAAGTTCTAGCAAGAAGTGAGGGGCAAGAGGGAAGGGTAACAAGGCCGAAGGAAGAAGTTTAGCTTTCATCCTGTAGTGTCTCTGGTTCACACCCTCTGGGAGTGGCGTGGTAGACACACTGGAATAGGTTCCAGTCAGGTAAGAGTTAGGAGGTCACTGTAATGGTGTGTAACAAGAGAAAGAGATGGGGAGGAAGGCTTCATGCCTCATGTAGGTGTGGGAGAGGGCTGGTGCAGGGGAGAGTACAGTCTCCATCTGGCTCCAGGCCAGGCACTAACGCCATGGTACTACCCACAGGAGCCAGAACACAGGACGCATTCGGTGGAACAGAGCTATTTGGGGACATGAAGAGCTTGCATTGCCTTTGTGGCAAACAGCTAGGAATGGCAGCGGAGAACCGTCAGCGATTTTCCAGTCCTGCTATGACCCAGCCACAGTCAGAGTACCTAGTCCTGACTGTGAGGAGGAACTGTTGAGAAGGAAAGGGACAACTCGCTGGGAACAGCACACGGAGGGTAAGAAAATTCTAGTTCTAAAGGTTGAGAGTAGTTGTACACATCTGTAAAAACAAGAGCCTGGCTCAAAAGGTCAAAAACCCAAGCCCAAACCCAAGCCAACCGAACAAACACAGACCTTTAAGAACCTAAAGACCCTGGTGCAAAGGTGTTGGTAACTAAAGGCAATGAGGTGTGGCAGGGACTCCGTGGTAAGAAGCGGCAGTAGAACTGGCGGGGCCTTACCAAAGACAGTGATGCGCTGCCTGGCAAACACACCATCACCAACAGTACTAACACAATTCCATTTCCGAAATAACAGGTCAATCCTGGAACCAGCTGCCGGTTCATGAACTACTCAGCTACTTTCTATATAAACCCAGGAAGAGTATTTCCAAATCAAGTCTGTAAACTTTATTCCTACCCTTTAGTTCAACTTTACAACTAGGAATAATTAAGAATCTTACAGTTTCATGGTCAGTTTACAATAGTTAATTTATGGGGCAAAGGGCACCCACCCACTTTTCACTCTCGCCTGTTAACTGTTCTCAAGTATTTAGGGGTACTCTGCATCACCTTCCGTTAAAACGGAAGCCCCTCAGGAAGTATGGCTCATTTTCTTTTCCACACGGCTCCATGCAATGTTTCTTTGTACTGGTATTTCTGTAGGAAAGGCACCAGTGCAACTTGCCCACAGTCATGCAGTCATGCAAATAAATTAAGGTAGCAACGTGATGTGTGGGAAGAGCGAATGGGTTGTAAGTTAGCAAGTCTAAGGGCTGGACTCTTTCACTTAACAGCTGTGAAATCTTAGTTTCCCCATCTATAAAATGGGGGCATGGTAAAACTAGCTCTGCCTACTTCCCAGTGATGACAAGGAAGTTCCAGCACAGCAGGTAGCAGCAACAGCATAGATCAGAGAGTCCTGTGAACTGGAGAGGTCTTGAGTGTTTACTGTGGGGGCTGAAAAGCACATATGGACTCTAAAGCCAGACTTGAGTTTTAATTCTAGATCTAGAACTCATTAACTGCAAGCCCCCCTCCCCCCCCCCCCCCCGATAACTCTAAACTTTGATTTCATTCTCCGTAGACCTGGAACAGGGACACTCACCTCACTAAGTGATCATGAACGCACAGACCACAGGTTACACATACAAAGTGCACAGTGTAATGGCTGGGTTACAACCGGGACATACAAGCTGTACTCTCGTTTCTTATAGATTTACAGAAGGCTTTCCCTTCCTCATAAGGTGAGGGCGAGGGCGGGCTGGGGGACAATATGCAGAAACAAATAAAACACACGGTCCCTGTCCTCAAGAAGATTTAGTTACTTTGGAAGATAGAACACACACACATTAAACAATATCGAGAGGGTTACAGGACAGAAAATCAACAAGCTTAGGATGACTGGCAGGCAGAACCCAGCTTCCCTGACCTCACAGCTCGACAGTCAACTCCCGCTGTCTGTGAAATGTGTTCAAGGAGATTTCCTGTCCTGCTTGGGGGCAGGAATGGGTCATTTACTAGCTTGTGACTGCTTTACCCATGGACCCTGGATTACTTCTTGCACTCTCAAGTCCAACTTTTCTGCTTTTCATCCCTATCCTAAAGCAACCTACATAACCACACAAGAACTGCTCCAGAGACTCACTGCTAAAGCAGGGGATGCTGGGTGATCTCAGCTTCACTGAATCTGCTTGTGTCCAGATCATAAGGAAAGGGCAGAGAACAGGAACCACAGCAGTGTTCTTTCACCGGCACAAGGCGTGGCACATGTGGGGGGGGGGGCGACACGTTAGTCACTGCAGGTTCCTTGCACGAGACATGGCATCACGGGAAGAAAGGCATCCCGGGAAGAAAGGCATCCCGGAAGCAGAATTAGTCAAGCAAACGCACACAGTGACAGTTAGTTATACGCAGGGTTGGCGAGCATGTTGGCTCAGCTGAGGAAAAAGAAAATGAGAGCTCAAAAGTGCTATGAGTCATGAAAGAGGGCTAGAAACCTGGGCTCCAACGCTGAAACTGGACTGCATACCATGGGATTTTTGTCTCCTATTTCAAGAGCCACCCCCCCACACACACACACACTATTTAAGAGTATTCATTAACATAACCATTACTACAAAGTTTGAAAGCTGACGTATTAAAAGAAACTGTTCTGTGCTTTTCTTAGTGCTTAGCCCTCCTGTGTTCTGACACAGAGCCTCAGAGAGCATGGCGTCTTCAGTTAAGCTGGCCTTGTCACGTATGTCACCTATCATAGAGGCTCCTCACAACTAAGCCACAAACACCACACAGGCTAACTCTGAGCAGATTCGCTTTCACCAAACTTTGTAGGCTCAGGAAAGGATTGCTAGTCCTCGAGAAACCCTGTTATAGAATCAAGAAAGGACTACAAATCCATAGAAGAACATGATTCTCACAGGCTCAGGGAAGGGCTACCAATCCACAGGAAACCCTCTCATAGGATCAGGAAATCCTCTCACAGGTTCAGGAAACCCCCTCACAGGATCAGGAAATCCTCTCACAGGTTCAGGAAACCCCCTCACAGGATCAGGAAATCCTCTCACAGGTTCAGGAAATCCTCTCACAGGTTCAGGAAATCCTCTCACAGGATCAGGGAAGGACTACCAATCCACAGGAAATCCTCTCACAGGATCAGGAAACCCCCTCACAGGTTCAGGAAATCCTCTCACAGGTTCAGGAAATCCTCTCACAGGTTCAGGAAATCCTCTCACAGGTTCAGGAAATCCTCTCACAGGTTCAGGAAATCCTCTAACAGGCTCAGGGAAGGGCTACCAATCCACAGGAAACCCTCTCACAAGATCAGGAAACCCTCTCACAGGATCAGGAAACCCTCTCACAGGCTCAGGGAAAGACTACCAATCCACAGGAAACCCTGTTGAATGCTGTCCAAGGACTTAATTGTTCTCTACTACACTGTGCTCAACTGGAAGGCAGAGTCCATGTCTGCTCCAGCTGTGATTTTTATGTACCTAGTCTAGGACAGAGCACACAGTAGGCATTTGGTAAATGTTGGAGAATGGCAGAGGACGATGTGTCAGGAAGCATTCTCTTCTGAGCTGTGATAGCTTTCTCAATGGATTAACATCATCAGAAGATGCTCTCAGCCCAGCACAAGTCAGGCTTTCTTGCTCTCAAACCCCATGGAATCTGGGACAGATTCCATGTCTTCTGCCTGAGACATTAGGAGTTCTAGATTCTAACCTCATATCTTCTGCTAATCTGTTACAAATCCTTGAGCAAACCATTTGCCTCTGTGAGCTATAAAATGAGGAGTTGGACAAGATGATCCCCACTATTCTTTACTGATTTTAAGGATTAGTATCAGGCTACTAAATAATTTCAATCACATAAAAAGCTCCTGGGGTTTTAAGACACTCAGTCACCATCCTAGGCCTTTCTTCCTAATCAAGGTATTCTACACCCAATGGTCAAACAGCACACCTGCCTGTCAATAACAAAGACCACGACCGCAAACCCCTTCTGCAACCTGCAATCTGCCAGGGTCTAGACTGCATCATGGTCCTTCCTCACTGCGTCATTTTATGAAGAGTTACTACTGGTCCTAAATTTACAAAGGTCCTCTCTAAACAATGATGGCCAAATGTCCAATAAACATCATGGTTGAAATACGTATCAGTATTAAGATATTCACATAGCAACAACTGCTTCATACTTACCTTCAATGCTATATACAGGCCTTAACACAGTTAAGACTGCCCCCGTTATCACCAAAAAGTACAGTGATGTCTACTGGATAAAGAGCCCATTCTAGGCACTGTGACAGTATCATGGCGGGCTTCTCATCTGATCAGGCATCTGGCCAGGGAAGAGATAAGCCTCCAAGAATGTTCAACTGGAACGAAACATCATTTAGAAATTTGATCTTACTAAACAATAAGGAACCATAGTCTATAAGGGTGTGGCCAGGCAAGAGGACACAGATAAAGCACGTCCAAGAAAAGAAACCCTATTTGCCCCAGCCTAACCCTTGGAACTGCCAATGGAAACAAAAAGGGGTGGGGACTTATGGGATTCAAACATATTTAACATTTCTCTTCTTTAAATATTTTTTTTTCCAGATCTTTTAACATCTTCCTGTTGGAATGGCACTCTGTGATAGCTCCTCAGAACTGAAGAGATGGTCATAGTGTTTTAGGGCTTCAAATTCCTATGTGACACCTCCAGTAGTGACGGTGCAATATTGGGGCTCAGACAGTAACATGCCCAATTGCATGTTGCATCACATGTTACAGACTAGGTCAGATGTGTGTGTAACACCTTACTTGACCTGGAAGCAAGAGAGTAACCTTGCCCACAGCACGTGTTTTGTGCAATATAAACAAAGCATTCGATTCAAGTGCACTTGTTGAAAGCAGGACATAACCAAGCAGTTGGTAAAAACACATCCTTGTTTCCCACTAGCAAATCTCCCAAGAGTCCCTTCGAATTTACCTATACGAGTTTCAGCTTCCCGCTTGCCACTTAGCTTGATAACGACTCAAAAAGCATTCCCTTGTTTTCAAGGGCTCTTCTTTCTTGTCTGCTCTGTGTACTACAGGGCAGTATTGACACATGGAATTAATGACAGGGTCTGTAATGAAACAACAGTCATGCAAACACCAGTCTGCTCTTTTGATAACACAGCATGTTAGAGACCTATTCACCTCCCTCTAATTGAGCACTGCATAACAGTTCCGATCCTTTTGTGTCACATATTTTGTTCTATGAGTAGAAAAGAAGAAAAAGGGGAAAACCTATGAAGCATCGCTTCCTTTAATCACCCCTGATTAATTCTCTGTTTTAATGAGGGTGCTGCTATTTAGTCAGCCTGTTACATACTTGCTTTGCTGACTTCTGTTCAATGTATAACAAAACCCGAGACAGGATAATTGGAAACCATTACTTTGGCACAGGGATTCCTGTTCTTAATGTGAGGTTGGCCTGGAGAAAGAGCCCTGACATGTTAAATTAGCCATTTCATATTTAATTCCTTTCACCTTTGAAAGATGAGACAAGGCATTAGTATATAAATGAAGGATTTTAATTAACATAAGGTGCCTATGGGGATGGAGACCCTGACGGCCCGGATGGGGTAGCAACGCAGTGCCTGCTCAACTCCAGTCTCAGGGGCATGACTCGAGCAGTCACAGGCCTCTCGAGTGTTCCGGCTTCTCACCCTTGGTGACAGCCCTTCTTAGCTAAAAAGTCACATACCTGTGTGGGAGGTTGTGGGTGGCCTTTGGGTGTGGACACTGCCTCTTTACCTTTTATCTAATGGCTTCCTGGTGCAACTGCTTATAGTGATCTTTCACCAGGACAGTAACAGACGAGGGATAATGGGAATTATCCGCAGCAAACAAAAGGTCTTCAAACTGCATCTTAATAAATAATTCTGAGACCTTCCCCTCAGCCCTGACGGGTTAGTAAAATATGCTGTGTAACTATGTCAATCCCAAGATAAATGGACATGGCGTACCACTTATACCACCACGCCCTTCCACTTTGTAATGGTATTGGGAATTGCCTAAACATTTCAACAGGAAAGCACTTAAAAATAATGGGAAAACCCAGTTTTAACAGAGCATCTTAGAACTCTGTTTCCCTCATGAAGCTAGTTCTTTAACTAACGATGTAGTATCTGAGATGGTGTAGGAAATTGGGGTATGTGGCACATCTCCACTATAACCTATAGTCTAAGTACACATGCTCACTGTTGGTCTTTGGTGCTTTGTATTTATTTAAAACGTATGTCTCATTTAAAAATAATCAGGCTGACAACTTCTCGAAGCAGCTGGTTATTTTTCAAAAGGGTTTAATATTTGAGGTCATTTAACCTCTGATGGCTCACTCCCTACTAAAATATACCCCATCCTATTTAGATCACAGAACCGTCTTAAATGATCATCGGAGCACATATAGAAGCATTTTTTACATTTTGGAACACTAAATTAGTTTTGTATTATTCTCATTTCTGTTAGGAGATAACATGCAAAGCTTCTAAAAATCTGCTGTGGCCTCGTGTTAGTTAGCACAGCTAAGAGCACATTATAGGGTGAGGTCAGGGATAGTGCTGAAAGAACATAATTTAGTTTTAGCCTCAATAATGACATTCTTTATTAGTTCTTGGTAACATTACTAGAAATTTTTCTACCCTGTTGCCTAAATTAACAAAATTCAATGAGGCCTGCATGCCTGTGAACTCTGTTGAAGGAAGGGTCACAAACAGAAGTTCTAATTCAACCCCCCAATCAGGAAGATCTGAATGTTAAAGGGCAGGCAACTAGGGAGGTTATTTTTATTTCACATTTTGCTAACTGTTGAAAGCCCTTTTAGCTTGGCTTTAACCAAGCATTCAGTGACTTCCAGTAAGGAATACAAAGGGCACATGACACCCTACTCAGGTGTCTAGCCACTGAGATAGTCCTCTATGACCTAAAGATGCACAGACTCAAGCTTCTCCAAGAAATCCCCCCTCTCTCTCTCATAAGGTGGCATCAGAAGATAAAGCACCAAGCTCCCTTAAGTGACTTCTCAGGGAACCTTAGTGATGGAGGACAGCGCTGAATGTCACAACACAAGCCACTACCCTGGAAGCTGCATGCTCACATTCAAGTCCACCTACCTAGACAGAAAAGTACAGCGGAGAAAAGTAAAGTGGGGTAAAGGTGATTTCAACAGGGTATTGTATTTAATCCCATACAAAAACTGGTCCTTTTAAACACACAATCTACTAAATAATTAATGAGACACTTTCCATTCTCTTTTTGTCTTTCAAGGACACCCCAATTTGGATTAATCACACTTCATGTATTCAGTAGTCATGAACTAGTGGTCCCCACAAAAGACAGTGCTGATCCAAAGGGTCTCCTAACCTAAACCATTGAGATCTGGTGCCTACATCAGGTCTTACAATGCTTTAAAAGGGTGGGTTGTGTTTCTGAAATATATCCAAAAAGCATATATCCTAGACTAATTCCTTAAAAAGGCACATGCAATTACAGGTTTTGGTAGTTTTGTAAGAGCAACAGAATTTATTTATATAGAAAAAAAGTTACGTATCTGTTACTTTTCAGCTGTAAATCACTCATGACCTTATATGTGATGCCAGCTTTGAAAGCCATGTCCCATCTAGCAGAAATGGGAGGGGTGGGAAGTGTGGTTAGTGGCCAGAGAACAGACGAGGGAAGGAAGTGGTAGCAGGAAAGGCGTAGTTTACTGATTTACTTACATGCAATCTAAGACACAGTGCTTGATGGTATAAGCAAATAGGCAAAGTGCCTTGATAAACAGTGCTAGAGTGAGAATGGAGTATAATAAGATCAATCCATCTGGTGTCAATTCAGGAAATAAAGGCGATTAGAGGAGTCGAACCAAAACTGTAATCAAACTGTTCTTGCCCTGGCCAGCGCTGGCTGAAGGCATCATCATCATCGTTCAAGTGTGCGAGCTAGGTACAGGCAGCTGTGCTAGGGACAGACAGCTGTCTAGAGCTAGGGACGATGGATTTCTTCCTACCCAGTCACATGCTAGTCTCCTGCTGTAGTGCAGGGGCTCCGTTTTTGCTTTCAAAGTCTAAAGAGAGAGGAGGTGGAGAGGCAGGCAAGTTATAGCTGTTACATGATGTTTTCTGTAATCTCTTACTTCAGGCTTGACTGCTAAATATTATACTTATCATTCTATTAAAGAAATCCTTATCACTTACTTAAAGTAGCCAACCATGGCCCACATTTCTGTAGTTTTGCTAAGAAATGGGACTGAAAACTGCTCTCTGAAGCCTTGATTCCTGTAGGTTATTTTGTACAGAAAAACAAAAAACAAAACAAAACAAAAAAAATGGACTTCAAATTTGGGGGTCAGCTGTTTCCACTTTCCATCCTTGTACTCTGGGAAACCATAGGGCAAAAGGCACTGAACTAACTATACAGGACAGGATTTACAGTGTTGAAATGATTTTCTAGCTTCAAAAGCCTCCGGGGACACTGCCATCCCCACAAGAACTAGAAACAGCTAACACAGATATGACCTAAGGTCACTGAGGATGCTACTCGGTCCGTATTCCATGGGACGCTTCTCAGTGAATCCTCACTGAGATAAAGATGCTGAGAACATGTGCTCCTTAGGGCTGTGTCTAGCATGAAGGTGAGATGGAATGTGACTTCAAGTTTCACAGAGTGGTTTTACACTTTTGGAAGTAACATCTATACCCTACACCAGGCTCAGGAATAGGACTTGGCATGACCAACCTTAGTCATCACTTTGGTAAGTGCTTTGGCACGGGCCACTGTTGCTAACCACCATCCTGCTGTAGGTCCTTCACATCTGCTCTCCTACGGATGAAAAAAGGAAGTGTCTAGTGTCCATGCCTTGGCCACGTCACCTCCAACCCTATCCTCCATCATATGCCTTTCCTTTTGAGGTGCAGGAGAAGCTGCCCATAGGATGACCGAGAAGTGCTCTGGCAAACGCTGTAACACAGACACAGTGACACAGTGGACAGAGCAAAGGCCTGGAGGTCTGGAAAACGAAGCTCCTAGTCTCCCTTTATCTTAGATCTGGAGAGAGCACGCATGGGTGAATGTTTCGTAAACTGTCAAAAGAAAATGGGTTATCAGCAGCCATCTGCTTAGAAAGGTTAGGGGTCTTTCTGTGGTCCTTGTATTTCCCACTAGTCAGTGAGGTTAACATGCCACTTGAGCTCTTCGGAAGAAAGATGCAGTAAGTGAAGTCCAAAGACTTAAAAGGACTAAGTCTCTCTCCCTACAATGAATGGCCACAATGGCCACTTCCCCTCCCCTTTAGAATGTGTCTCCATGAACAGACACATGTCACTTCCTTTCCCTGGGAAAGACTCCCTGAACCATTTAGACAGAACGACCGGCTCCTTTCCCCTGGGGCACACAGCTCAACACATACCTTGTTTGTCACCGCTTCTACTTTATATTCTGAAATTAACTATACAGCCATTTATCCCGCTAGAGTATGATTTTTCCGAAGGCAAAAATCATCTTACTTATCTCCAAATCTCCCTTGCCCTCCTAGCTCAGTGCCCTGCCCATGGGAGCTGCTGAGTAAATGTTCCTTATATGGTACTGAACCTAAGTCTATTTGGCTGCATGACACCTTATTTTTTCTTATTTTACCAAAAATAAGAAAAAGTGAAAAAAGAGATGAAACTTAAGACTAATGAATAATTTAGCACAGCAAACATGAAAGACACATGAAGGAATGGTTTCATTCTATGCATTCTTGCTCTGGAATGCCAACTGCTGACCTTCATTCAGCTGTCCCTGTTATTAGTGAGAGTAAATGTTAGAAAGCGCACACACAGGCAGACAATGTAAAACCCATCACATGTCATGCAAAGAGTCAACACTGCCTAAGACTATCCCCAAATTTACTTTCACTTCAACTTTCAGGACAAAATGAGTTCCATCAAAGCCAACACAGACATACTGGCTCTGTTTTGGACATGTGAGCATCAGGACCATCTTCAGCTGGAGCTGGGCACCTGACGGGTGTTTCTCCGTGAATGTTTGTTTTCTTTTAGACAAGGCTTAAGTGGAAGTTGGGCATTTCAGAATTAATGTTTATGTGTTCATTTACTGGTAGCTTCTAAAATATGTATAAAATATGTAGATTCCCCTGAGATTAAAAAGAGAATTGTTTTATGTGAATTAATAGGGTAGGTGCTTTATGAAACTGGTGATGCACCTATGAATAAGCCAAGAATCCAGATTACACTGTATTATCCTGGGCAGTTTATTCCTCATTGTTTTTGTCTTGTGCTTGGGCGTTTCCTCATATAGAATCTGTGCTAACTGCCAGCAACACCTATAGCAACAACAGGAAATTTAGACTACCCAAGTCCTAAGCACTAACATGTTCCACCTAGATCCTCACTAACAATTTCCTTTCTAGCTTCCACCAGATGGATCTATTGATTTCATTCTAATTTACTTACACCATTAGGCACATACAACTCATTTTTACATATATTCTTTTCTGGAGGGGAAGTGCTGGGGACTGAACCCAGGGCCTGTACTTTAGCACTGAACTCTTTCCGCAGCTACCAGATTTTATTTTTATATATTCATATAGTATTTGTTATTCTGCTCAACACAGGTCTGCTCTAGTAACACTCTCCATGACTATTATTAATCCCTTCTTGGAAAAAACTTGTATAAAATATTAGGGAGAATGTAATTTGCAACCAGGCCAAATGCTGGGAAAGAAGAAAAATTTAGGAGTAGCCAGCGGTTACCAAGTTCTAGGATACTTTGTGGATAGTGAAGCTACTTACATTTAAGCAGCTTCTACACATGATCACTGTTATCCAGAAAGCTAAAGCATTATTTGTTATAATCTGTCAACCCACAGTCATCCATTTCACAGCTTACTCTGTCTACAAATGGAACCTATTCCTCTCTTAGCCCCTTCCCTTCCCTTTCCATGGCTAGTCTCTGGCTGTTCAATTCCAATTGTTATTGCTCTTGATGGATGAATATCAGCCTTTACGGTTATATGAAAATGAGATGAGCAGAAGAGATTCACCTTTATATGGTGGCTGTCACCAACACAAAGAAACACTCACTCAAGATGACTTATGACTGGAAAATAAGGCGACCCATCTAAGCCTGCAGGAATCATCTTCTAATAATGCCCCCAAAAGAGCTAGTTGTTGATTAGCATGAGTTGATTTAATTATTTACAAAACTGGTTATTTTGGAAAGGAAGGGAGTGTGAAGCAAGAGGGGAGGGGTTGGTTGTTTTTGGAACCCCTAATTAGTAAAAGTGCCTGCTTTAAAAAAAAAAAAAAAAAAAAGTCCTTTATTTAAGCTCTTTCTTTTCACTTCTTCCTGAAGACTATATGGCATTTTAGAATTCTGGGTTTCAGCAGCAACTCAAAAAGCAATACTGCAAACTTGCACATCAAAAAGGAAAGGAGAAAAAGCGCACCATGGTTTCAAACAAAAACCAAAACAGACTGAAACAAAAATACAAGAAGCAGCAAAGTTACTGACCCTAACTCAAAGCATTCTTTTGACGACAGGGAGGTTAGTCAGTTAATACCACAGCCGCCTCTAGTCCCTGCTCAGCACTGAGTGTTGACATGGTTCAGTGACGCACACCCAGGAGCGGCATGTGTAGAAAAGCCATGGGTGGCACCTAGCTGCTGCTCTCTGGGCCTCCCTGTTCCGATAGACATGGATTCCAGAGTTGTTGTTCTATGGTAACTCTCAGTGAGAGAGACAAAGAAATAGAACATTCTTAGAAACCAAGCAAAAAATGGATGGGCATACAATACCTGGAAAGTTTATCAAGCATGTTGACAAGTTTCATGGCTTCATATTCTTTTTGTTCTTCTGTCATTTCATCTATAGGGTTTGGCATTGGCTCCTCTAAATGACCAGTGATAAGATTAATGCTACAAAAAGAAAAAAAAGTTATGCTGTATGTTTTAGAATTATGCTCTTTCTATACTTCTCTGGTCCAAATTTTAAGTTATATAAGAAAGAGTATAATGGCCAAAAACTGGCAGTAATTTCAATAGTAATTTTATTGTACAGAATTGCTATAGGAATGTTTTTGTTATTATTATTAATCTTACTAGTTTGCTTTGGAAAATGAGCTTTTAAAAAATGAAAACTGACTTGCCAACTATTTTTTAAGGCATGGCTGCTTTTAAAAATATAAAATTTCGTTGGTGCCATTGGATAAAAATTCTTGGATGCACATCTTACTTGCTCATTGTAAGGGGACAAATACTTTCAGAAGTAAGATGAGAAAAATCCATTTTGTGATACAGCATAAAACAAACATGTTCAAAAAAAAAAAAAAAAAAAGAGGAAAAAACAAAAACTGTAAAAATGATGCCAGAGGCTGCAATCTGAAAGGAAAGCATGCCGCTTTATGATCTCAGGAAATCAGTCCATTAGTGAGACGGCCCCAGGGGCAATGAGTGCTCAATATAGCAACAGGCAAGGCAGAAGAGAACTTCCCATTAGATTAGAGCTGACTAGCCCACCCGAGCGAGAGTCAAATGCAGCACCTCTGCTTTCTGTAAAGAGCCCTGGAACAGTGCTACCAGCAATGCATTTCTTATACAAAACTTCTATTAAGTGCTAACGCCAAACAATTATACTCTTAAACACAAGGCCACATTTCTGTCGTTTCTTTTTTACCGAGGAGGGGAAATAAAACACAGTTCTCTCAGTGCCTGCTAAGTATCAACACCTTAAAATTATTCTTGAGAAGACATGACTATAGTTACACCATCTTATACCTCCAGTGTAGGTTGTTTAATGATCTAAATGAAAACACCCCCAGACAGCACACTGATGATAGATGACTTTCTAAGGTCATTTAGATAAAGGGCTAATGCATGCAGGGCCAGGCCAGGATAAACAAACCAGCATAAACTGTGAGGCATTGGAACCTGGAGTAAACTGAAGAAAAAATATCTTATTAGCCCACTAAAGCCACTGAAATCGATTGGCTCCTCCGGTGCTCAGTTTCCAGTCCTACTTGAGACCGTTCAGTTGTCTTAAGGGTTAGCGCATGGGTCACCATCACTTACTATTAGATTTCCCTTTCTTTTGCTATATTCCTCAAAGGTTACAACCACATGTTCTTGTGGAAGGGTCTGCACTCACATTCTTAGCAAACTAGATTTGATGCCTGTGCTGCTATTCTGAGATAGGGCCTGTGGCTAGATCTGTGCTTAAGAAAATCTACTCTGTAGGACTTAGTGGTGCATGCCTAAGATTCTTGCTTGGGGCTGAAAAGAGAGGAGTGTAAATTCAGCCAGCCTGAATAACTTTCAAGGTTTAAAGGGAGCTGGGCACTTGCTGGAATTAGGTATGAGGCCATGTATTAAATCCTTAGCATGCCCCTTCCTTGTCCCCAAAAAGGCAAATGAACAAACCAAGATAACCCCTTGTTCCCACCAGTAAACTATGTACTGTGGGACTAGGACAAGCAGAAGACATTTGGACCTGGAGGCCCTTCTGTTTGCTCCGCCCACTTGCTTCCAGGCACTCCTCTATGGTGCTTACAGACCTCTGCAGTGGCTGCAAACATGTAGCTTGCTCACTGATTCCAGCATCAACTACACATGAGGATCACTTGGGAAACTTTAAACAGAGCTGGCTGTACCTTACATAAACATGTAAAGTTCCCCAGGTGCTCTGGGTACACTGGGCTCACTCGGTGCCTGCCCTCACACTGGTCTGTGCTCTGCCTAATAAAGGTGCGACAAAGAGGCCTCTGGTTAGAGGCCAGCATAAAATTGCTAAATGGGCCACTGTATTTCTCAAACTTAAGAACAAAGGGAACTGAACAAGGTTTCTGAGAGGAGAGTTATGTAAACACAGGGTTCCTGTCATTATTTGCATGAGCACATGGCTTTCTACCTCCTAACAGCCAGCCTGCAAGGTGGATGAAGGTGCTTACAACAGCTCTTCTCAAGCCAAGGAACCAGGCCTTCAGCAGAGTACAAGTGGAGCTCAACACATAAGCTATGCTGATCCCACTCATTAGTCACCTGAGAGCAGGCGCCTCACACTGACAGGGTATGACCTGAACCACACCTGTAGACTTTTCAGAAAACAATGTCAGTAGCACAAGCACTCATGTACGTCAGGAAAGTGTCAGGAGCACTGATGAGCCCTGTGGTGTTGTGACTCCTAGGTTGGGCAGAGCAGTTCTTTTCTTAGTCCCCCCCCCTTCTTCTTTTCTTTTTGTTGTTTTGAGGCGGGGTTTCTCTGTGTACCTCGCTCTGTAGACCAGGCTGGCCTCTGCCTCCCGAGTGCCGGGACTAATGGCATGTATTGGTGCAACGGTGTCCATTTTCTAGAAGCTGTTCTCCAGTCTCCTTACTGCCAAAATGACTCAGGACTTGCTTTGGGGTTAGCTCCCAAGTGACAAAGTCCTCTGCTGTCTGAGCATGAAGACAACGTTCTCATTCTCAAAGAGTGAGGCCCCTCCCCGATCCATGTAGAAAACAAAGTGACCCACAGACTCAGGGTTCACCTCTCCCTTTAAACGGACACTTTTCCCCTTACAAAACTCAGAGGAATGTAAACAAAACCACATAAAACACAAACCAGGACAACGAGCTGTGCCACTCTCCCATGAGAAAAATGCCAACACACGGTAGCAGACGGCAGCTGGGACCGACCCCCCTCCAGCTTCCCACCCACAAGGACAGAAACGTATCACCACAACAATAATGACGAAAGGCTGGATACTGTGGGTGAACACACCTAGCACTGATACCCTGCTCTCCAGACTCAGCCTTGCAGGTTGCAATGGTCACTATGAAATGCCAAGGTCATCTGGACTTTGTCCAACACTAACTGTGGTGGACCTTGGAGGGGTGGTCATATTCATTTATTCAGCTTGTCCTTCCTCCCCTCTGAACTCCTGTGGACACTAACCATGATTTTCTGTTTGAAATAAGACCGTCACGTGAACTGCGAGGCATGGCCTGACAACAGGAGCGCTACGGCGTATAAACGAGCATGTGTATAAAAATTGACCCACATTTTAGTTCTTTTTAGTCTTTTAACTGTTGACACTTCTGCTCATCATTAGCATCACTTAACAAAGAAGAAGTCCATGAAAACTTAGCTGTGTAAAAGCTTCAGCCTCTAGAGGCAGGGCTTAGATTTTACTCAGTTCCAGACACTGCCCTAACAGCGGCAGCACCTACAGGGGGTGAACTGCTCTGACTGAATTTCTGGCGCCATCTGCAAGATATTTCAAGCCTGGAGCTGAAAATCAGGTTTACCAATCCCTGGCTGCAGAGGCCATGGGCTCGCAGAGCTAACTTTACAAGGCCTGTAACTGCCTTCTAGTTGTGGATGTTAATATCCACAGATAAACACTCCCTTAGGGAAGAAGCTCTTTTTTTTTTTTTTTTTTTACAATAAGTGGTGATGAATGCACGAACTCTTAGCTGCTCAAGGTGCTGAGAAAAAGTAACTGCTGACCCCATTTATATCACTATCTCTAAGGCTTACAGACTATGAGAGCGGAAAAACGGAGTATGGAAGTGAAAAGCTTCTTGGCATGACACAGCAATCACAAACATCAGGGACAGGAATGGGACTTGTCAACGGTCAGGCTTAAGTGGGTCTCCAGGGGCCCTACCTCCGCTGCTAGACTACTGACTACTGAAGGATTCTGGGGCAGGAGCAGCCAGTATCTTCAGATAGTCACCCAATGATGAGCCCACCAAACTACAAGGGACAGTTCCAAATCCATGGTCATATGGAGGGCTCTGGTTAAACACGGTAGGCCACAGAACAAAACAAAAAGATATGGATGTGGGCAAGGAGTAGTGAGGAAGGGCTGGTGGCATGGGTAGGAGGGAGAAGGAAAAAGCAGGGGTGAGGATAACTGTAATTCGTATGGACATGCGTGACACTGTGAAATCCTCATAGAGATGAAGGCAGTCAGCAAGGAATGCTGGCCTGGCATGACAGAACTCTAAATTCCATCAGCTGGCTGGTAGCTGAGAATACAAGCCTTATCAGAACTAGTTGTTTTTATAAGGATGACAGAAATCCAGATCTTCATCTGAAATGTCCTACATCTTGCCAAGTAATATTTGTAAGAAGCACTTTTCAAAATGCTAACAAAAATATAAACCAAAAAAGAAAAGAAAACAAACAAACAAACAAAAAACTACATGGAATAAACCAAACATATTTGTGGGCAAAGATCCTGCTTACATGCTGACAAATTTGCAACCTTTAAAGAGTTTTTAGGAAGAGGCACTTTTGTATGCCTAGACCAGGAAGGAGTGAGCAGGTGGGTAGGAGAAGTTCCATGGGATGAAGCCCAGTCTTTCCTGGATGCCTTGCCAGAGTACCTGCTGCAGGCACCTCTCCAGGCAACATAGAAGGCTATGGGCCATGTCTTCATCTCCTGAGGTCCACTCTGGATACCAATGCTTCTCCATGGGAGGCTCAGCAGTTAAGAATGCTGGTTGCTTTTGTACAGGACCTGGCTTTGACTCCCAGCTCCCATTCAGGGCTCAAGGGTCTGTAACTATAATTCCAGGAGATCTGACATGCTCTTCTGGCTTCCATGGGCACCAGGCATGCACATGGGGCACACTTACACATGCAGGCGAAAGATTCAAACATAAAATAATTAAAAATGTGTTAGTATAGTCAACAAACATTTATATAAAGGCAGGTTTTTTTTTTAAAGTCCCATTCTCTCATGGAACTCTCAGACTTGATGAACAAGGAAGCTTATGGTGTGAAGGTTGGAAATGTTGAAAATACAAACAAACAAAAAACAAAACCCGAGCTATGCAATGAAGCCTGGGGTGGAATGGAAATGAAGGCGTGAGACCAGGCATCCTAGAGGAGTAAACAGGCTGCACAGAGGGAAGAGGTTCACGCAAGACCT